ATGTACAAATTAGATGGAAAACAACCATTCTCCTTAAATTAAAATAAGATAAAGGTGTGCTATTTTGATATCTATATAAAAAAAGACCAACAGCAACAAATTCAAATGAACAAAACACAAATGACTAAAAAATTTCAGATGAGTGGTTGACTTTAATAAAGACACTAGATACAAGCATATACTTGAAAAGAAGATGACACAAGAATATAAAAATTTTCATGTAACTAAGTACTTACTATGATTTAAGCTAGTGTCTAACATTTTCATCTTTGTAGTTGTTGATGATATGTTGTTCTAGATAGTTTGATCCAAGAGATGACATCTGGAACAATGCTAAGTAATACCATCACTATCCACCACTGAGCTTTAAATTCAATTGTGTTGAACAGTAGTGACAAATCTTTGGGAAATGATGTACGACATTGAACCCACCAAAGCACATAATAGGTTACCACAACCAGCCATTCTATATAGTACACTCGGGGTTCGAAACCAGCCAACACCACAATACCATATTTGGCGACAAATTGAATAGCCCAAATCTTCTCTTTAATTCCTTTGGTATTCGTAAAGGGCTGAAACATATCTTTGGGAAAAGAGCTTCGTAACCAGAAACAGAAAATGATATAACCGATTACTGCAAATAACCAATCTTTATAATTGGCCATGGGAGATACGATCAGAGCAAAGTTGAACATGGCATGTGCAATATTTACAACCATCAAAATCAAACCATTGATTCCTTTGGTATTTGTAAAGGGCATTGAGCTATCTTTGGAATTACGATAGGACTTACAGAGACTTCGAACCACAATACCGATTGCCGTAACTAACCACCTTTTATAGTCAGATAAGGGAGATTCGACATTAGAAGACATGAAGATACTATGTGCAAAATTTAAAGCAGTTGATGAAAAAATAAAAAACACACTAGCACTTTTAGTTGTGGTATTTGTACCAAGATCTTCTTCCGAATCCAACCAATACTTATCTAACCAACTCTTGAAACTGAACAACACAAAACAGATGGAAGCAATTATCCATGTGGAGAACTTCAACCCATAACGGTTGTAAGTAATAGATCCAACGGCTCCAATTATAAAACTAAACAACCCAAGGTCTGTTTACGGTCGTAATACCACTAGTACGCATAGAAGAAAAACTGAGATGCACAACATAGCACTGAGGCCCCTCAAGGAATTATCATAAAATTTTGAAAAAAGAAGTGCCATAATAAAGAAGGTGAAGTTTGATGTTGAATTTACCATACAGCTGCTCCTTCCATGAAGAATTTTAAATTGACTCCAATGTTTTGAATGTGTTAATGGGCTAAGCCCAATAATCATCAATAACTGCATTTTGACTCCTCTTCTATCATATTTTGAACTTAACTCTGTATTCAGTAAAAGAAATATGGCAAAGAACATGGCAAGTTTACCGACTAGTTTGGCCTTTAGTTGATCTTTTGCTGCTTCGTTGTGGAGATGCATCTGAAGGGCTTCTGATAGATTCTTCATCTTCTCAATAATAGGATCCAACAGAGATCTCATTTTTGATTGGAAATACACCTTGAGAGCTTTCAATTGATTGCTCATCTCATCTTCAACCCAATCTTGCAAAAGCACTACCCGATAGATAATATTGGTTATTGTCAATAATGGATGAAACTTGATAACCATCCTCACAATCCGTAGTACTGCAATTGAATCTCTCATATCTTCCATTTAGGAGAAAGGTGAGAAAGAGCTGGTAGCACGGATGGTTATATTGATGAATTAATTCTACATGGTGTAAAATAAAAAAGTTTGCTTCCCCAGTATGAGCTGGTGTAGAATTCAAAAATAATTCAATGATAATATGCATTAGTCAATGGTTTCTATTGTGATGCAAAATGTCTTAGAACTTTTATCGTTAGTTAAAAATTATTGGATAAAATATAATTTTTAATTGAAAAAAAAGAAAATTAGAGTGTCCTGGTATTAAAATTGTTAAAATATCTATTAATAATCAAATGATGAATTTGATAAATTTAGGACCCACACTATACCCTACATGTTTAGTGGTTGTAATTAGATGCCATGACATTTTTAATGTCAGAACGTCTTGATTCTTTTTTTCTCATTTTTAGTATAAAAAATTTTAATTTCATTTAATAATTTAAATT